TCTCTTTGGCTGAACAGAGAGAGGAATTATGGGAATTCAGCTAAACAAACTTGCTCTGAAACCCAACAGCACCCAGTCAGCAGCGAATATATCAGCGGCGAGGCTAAACTACAGGACTGATCAGACACAAATATACCCAATCAACCACGGATGTTTGATCAGTGCATGTCTCATTAAAGGTGAACGACCTGTGAGAGGACAGAGGTCACCCGGGTCTCAAATGTGGCGCTGCAGGTTGGAGCTTTACGTGCGATTTAGTCGACATGTTGTTGGATGTTTGTTGAATATAAAACATGAGCATGAAAACCTGAGCTGAGCAGCACAAATCGGTCCAGGAACTCAAAACGATTCAAGAGGAAGCAGAGACGGATTGTCTGCGCAACAGATCACGCCAATCTCCACACAAAAATATTTACCGTCGTACCCTAAACACCACAGTCGTTTCATTAATGAGCAATTAACAGATTCACCGGTAATGAGCGAGAAACAGAAGAACAAAGAAAGAAAGGAAGGAAGCAGGAAACGAGGTGAGACACGAGGGGAGGCGTGGGGGAGGGGAAGGAATGAAGGAAGGGGAAAACAGAAAGGGGGGGGAAGGAGGGGTTGGGGTGGGGGGCTGCAGTGGAAAATAAAGGTGTGGAGGAGGGTTTGATTGGCAGGAGAGGTAACCTGAGGAGGAGGAGGGGAGGTGCTGACGAGCTGCAGTCTGACAGGCAGGAAGGCAGCGAGGAAAATAAACAGCAGCAGGAGCGAGTGAAGGATGTGAGGGGAAACTTCCTCTACATCTCCCTGCAGAGCTTTACCTGCAGAGCCCCCCACCTGAGCCCACAGGCTGGTGCCTTCACCAGCGGGGACACAAAAACCAGATCGGTGCCTTTTCCTGCACATAACCCACCATCATCGCCTCAGAGCAGGCGAGTGCTGTTTATCAGAGCTGCGGCGCATCAACATGTTCAACTGTGTTATCTTTATCATCCTCTTTGATCATTATGAAGCTTTTCGTTTGTGAACTCGGCACTTTTCTGTTTTTTGCTTCTTGTTTTTTCTCCTTGCAGTTCCTCTGGGGTCCAGCAGAGGCAGCAGTGACTCCGTCCCCATAGACTCCCCATAGAAGCTAAAACTGTACAGCAGAACATGTTTACTGCAGAATAAAGACGACAGCAGTAGCTGCTAATAAAGTTTGGCACATCTGTAAGGACCATTTACTGATGAGTCATTACTCAAGAAAAAAAAAAACAGCTGAAAAAAACTTTTTCAACGTATTTTTCAGACTCTCAGCAGGAAACGGAGCATCTGACACGGCATCGCTGATGACTTACTGTCCACTCTGCACATGTGAGGAAGTAAAACACATGACCGACATGTAAAGGAGAGATGGACTTGTTACAGCCACGTGTTTAAAACCAGCCAACCCATTACTTCCTGTCATGTGTCTCCTGTTCCACTGATGGATGTCCATTTTAAACACAGCAGAGTTAATAATGAGCCCACTGTAT